ATTCATAAGAGATCCAAAATAGGTCATTTTTGGCCATTGTTAGGCAAAAAGCATGGGCTATAGCCCATGGTTTTGATCGATTTTGGTCCATTTTCACACACATTTGAAAATCATGCATTATTCATAAGAGATACAAAATAGGTCATTTTTGGCCATTTTTACGCAAAACGCATGGGCTATAGCTCATGGTTTTGATCGATTTTGGTCCATTTTCTCACCTTTTTCAAAGTTATGCATTATTCATAAGAGATACAAAATAGGTTATTTTTGGCCATTTTTAGGCAAAAAGCATGGGCCATAGTCCATGGTTTTGATCGATTTTGGTCCATTTTCACACCCATTTGAAAATTATGCATTATTCATAAGAGATAGAAAATAGGTCATTTTTGGCCATATACATTAATTACGTTAATATTTAGTACTATTATAATCTAATTCTTCTTTTTTCTAAGGTCACTATCTGGCTATTACATTGTAATCAGTACACATTCTTTCATGGGATTATGAAAAACACTCTATCTAAACAAACAGCTACTGTTATATTGTGAAGCAGTATTAATAATATTATATTTGGTTAAAAGAAATTATTCACCAAAAGTTAATATATTTTTATTTTAATAATATGAGACTCTAAAACGCTCTGAATATTGAGAGCACAAACACTAAATACCACAATTATGTATTCTGTAATTAAATTATTCTAGTTTTGAGACCTTTACCATAAAAAAATCCTGTATAGAACAGCTCTAATCTTCTTGTCATTATTTTCCTTAGTATCATAAATGGAATCTTAAACGTCATGACTCTTCTAGCCTGGCAACTTGACTAGAAGTGTCATTGTCTTTGATCAAAGTTTTTACTTCCGTCCATTAAAATTTATAATTGACAATGACACTTCTAGAGCTGTCTGGCTATCAGAGTCATGAAAGATAGCAGAATTGCAAAAAAACTTCACAGAATCATGAAAACAGCCCATGTTAAGTTTGTCTCGTACTTGAAAGAACCAAAGATTCATATCAGGTGCACCATCCAAAAGGTCTTGACTAAAGTTTATACAGCTTATTTTTGTAGGAGAGATTGTCCTGTCATCTCTTCTGGGATGTCAAGTCCCATCACCTCAAGAACAGTTGGAGCTACGTCACATAACGCTGCATTGTGGGTAAACTCTCTGTACTTATGTCCACCCGTCATTATCAATGGCACTGAAATAAGAGGATGCAAAAAATTTTGTCCCATTCTCATAGCAGTGCTTAAATTATGGACCACAAATAACTATAAACCCCCAACCAAAAGACACCCTACCGATATACTAACAAAAAACTGACACCCTACCGAAAAAGTACTGACACCCTAATGATATACTACCGATGATGTGCAAATAATGCACCATCACTCTAATGACACCGATTTTAGAGTTGGGAAGATACAGGAATTAAAAAGGGAGTTCTGTTTCAAGGGGCATCCATCTATAAAAGAGGCAGAACCCAAAAAAACGAAATCCAATTTCATAAGGGGAGGGGTGAGAGGAAGCGGGACCAAGGAAGGCTCCTTGCAGTTACAGACATCCAAGCAGCACAAACTAAGTTTTTGCGGATACAAAATCTGGGTTCCCATTTGGGACGGGTTTGGGGATAGGTTTGGGGGTGKGGGCTTGGGGGGCAGGGGGAGGTACTTTAGTCTTCCAAGGTTTTGGTAATGCCATAAAAAGAAGAGTGCTTACCTCGGTTAGTAGTGTGTGCAGTATGTGGACCCCCCTGTTCACTGATCATTTGTTCGGCATTGCCATGATCAGATGTTATCATCAGCGTAAAGTTGTGCTTTTGGCAGGCTTCATAGATTCTACCTATTGCAGCATCTGACAATTAAAATAAACACAATGACTAGGATTAATTAGACTGTAGCCAGGATAATGGTGTTTAAAAAGAGCAAATTTAAAAATTTAAATTTTTGAAATAATTTGGGAAAAGCATTTYCCCCCTTCTCATCACCATGGTTTTTGTGGATATAGGTTCAACCCTCACCTTGGAATTTACATGCATGTTTATATCACAGTATATAGAAACATGTGCTGTGTTATATTCCTAATATATATACAATACTGTACCTGTAGCAGCACAAGCAACAACAGCAGCTTCATACTTCCCAGTATGACCAACCATGTCAGGTGGGGCAAAGTTGCACATCACAAATGGGTGCTTGCCTTCATGGATAGCTTTACAGACCTTCAATACATTCATAAAGTACATGTTTTGGATGACAATCAATGCTGAATAAATTGTCACTCATAATTAAGAACAAGAATGATTAAGAGACGTGGGCAAGGGACCTAGCATTAGACCTCTTGACAGTAATTCAGCTAATAAACTAGTGGTCCTCCTTTAACATCTCTATCTCATAAGGGATGGAACCGCCACTAACATGGTGAAAGTCTAACCACATGCAGATGTAATTACAAAGGCAGCATCTTCTAAATTATTTATTTATATTTAGAGGCTTTCATCACGCTTTTTGACTTACAAAGGAGAACAAGAACAAAAAAAAAAAAAAAAAAAAAAAAAAARAAAAARAAAGAAARAAATTCAAAAGCAAACAAGCATGATGAGGGGTGGGCAAATGGACTTGAGCTCCTGGCTTAAGACCCTGAGTCAAGCCTTGAACCATGACCTCCTGCACTATAGACTGACACTATAGCTAACTGTGCGGCAGTCAAAGAAGTCACAATCAATAACAAACCTTCTTACCTCATCAGCAACACCAGCTGAACTCATAGGAGGTTCCAAGTCATAGGTAGGAACTTTTGGCGACGGCACAAGCTTGCGATCCTCTAAATCAAATTTAGCTTCAACACCACCGTTGAAGAAGAATGTTACGTGTGCATATTTTTCAGTTTCTAGAAAAACAAAAATGTAGAAAAATTAGTTACAAAATATCTAGATTTAGAGTAATAAAGATGACACAACTTTGAAGTTTTCTAATCCCAAGTTCTTAATTATTATAACATTACTGAACACAGTACAGCACAAAAGTGTTTTCCTCTTGTATACATGTAGAATTAATTTTAAAATATAGGTTTTCATTTGGCATGCTATGCACTCTCATAACGCACTCAACATCAACCAATGAGGAACCAAAACTTATTATAACAGTTATTTAATAATTAATTTATGCACAATCTTCTCTGATGGAATCAAGGATGGTGTAGCGGTAGTACACCTGCCTTTGACCCTTGGGGTTTTAGGTTCCAATCCTGGACTTGGCAAATTACAATCATGTGAGTAAGTTTGTTGTTAGGACTCTCTCTTAATTTAAGGGCTTTTCTTTGGGTCCTCTGGTTTTCCTCCCTCAGCTAGCCCAACATGCAACTGTAAAACACTATTATTTTGATCTGTGAGTTAACCCTGTTTTGACTTTGAGTCAGAGTCTGCTTCACTGTATCAATACCACTTGAAGGTTTTTTTTAAACAACAACAAGCATATGTACCTGCACAATGATACTGTGGAACTTTTTTGCTACCAAGCCATTCTGCGAGGACATTCTTGGGTACTTCTGGAGGAAACATCACATCAAATGGAAACTCTTTCTTGTACTCTGTCATAGTGATATGATGCTGAAAATGAAAAAATTAGTAGTTCAGTGAAATAAGCAGATTATCATGTGCTTTATGACCAGCCAACAAACGTCTACTGACTGTCAGCCAGTAGTTGTCCATGTACATCAGCCCGCAGCAAGACTAAAAAGGCCTCAAAAAAGCATTAAGTCACAGAGTCAGCTGATCGTTGACTGACAGACAGCCATTTCCTGGCTGTTAATCAGCCAATCATTGGTCAACAGTTGGTCGATCATCAGTACACATCATCATCAATGTTGTTGGGTGCTCAGGATCATTTCCAACATGAGCAGGAATCATGTTTCATCTTGTATTTTATTTGCGATTGTATTTTAAACAGTCCAGTGATCAATAGTCGGCCAACTAACATTGGCCACTATACAGCAGAGTATTGACTGACATGTGTCGGTTGTTCATAATCGGTATAATGCATCTACAGTGTATTACGTTGCTTTTTAATAAGGACAACAAATGAGATAATTTACTAACAGTAGTTATTAAGCATACCAGGTTCTTTGGAATCACATCTGTTTCAAATGGTGGTTTTATGCCAATGGCTTCATTGATTTGCCTCATACGGTCAGCCCGGAAATCAAAGAAGCACAAAGTATCTCCATCTTTGAAGAAAGTCAAACAAACAATAATAAATAATAGATCAATAGATGAGATAAATGAGATACCTATGGATAGATTGATGGATGGATAGGTGCAGATGGATGCACAGACAGGTGTATAGATAGACATATGGATGGATAGAATCATAACTAACCTTGTATTCTCCCTTCAGGATCAACAATGATTGGTTTTAGAAATTCATCTGTCTCATGCTTATCACCTTCTGCTTCATAACGGCTCTTAATTACCTGAATATCAACAAACAGTTATCACCACATAGAACATAATTATGAATGAAATTATATATTATAATGATGGGTGTTAAAAACAAGCATAATTTCCAGGACAACTACTTAGTATTATAAGAATTTAAGGGACAGGCAATAATGAAAAAAAACTTTGAAAAACTTACATCTATGCATTTATTAAGAGTTGTTGTCTCTCCTTTGCCTTGAACAAGACCTTCAAAGGCAATCTTGATTCTTTCCCATCTCTTGTCTCTGTCCATAGCATAGTACCGTCCAGTAATAGTCGCAAGTGAACCATAATTAAGTTCCTTTAACTTGTCGATTACTTGCTGCACATAACCAACTATAAATAAAATTATTAAATTATAAATAATAAATAAAGAAAACCACAACAGAAATCATTTGATTATGAATAATTAATATAGAAAAACACAACAGAAATCGTTGTCGCAGGAGAAGTCTGTGAATCGGATTTACAGAATCCTCCTTATTTCCATTCAACTTCACCATGGATTTTCTCAACCAAACTTACTCCAATAAGCTCAAAAAATTAAGTAAAACATGAAACTATACTCCTAGACATTTTATTAGTAGTATACAATATTTGCATCTGATCTGTATAGGTTTACAAAGGTTCCCTTCCAGCTAGCTCTAGTATTAATGCTGATACAGACTGGCTTCTCATATTGTGTAATCATGTACTTTATGACCAGCCAACAGGTGGTTGGTGTTGGTCGACTATTGACCAACAGTCAGGCGATAGTCAGCTGACACGTGTCGGCCAGTCATGAAGTGCACAATTACCCTACACTCATATTGTACAGTATATAGTTATAGGTATTAGCTTGCTCTATCAACTATTCACCTCCACTAGTAGGGCGTGTATCTCTACCATCTGAGAAGAACTGGATGAATGTTTTGGGCACACCAAGTTCCTTTACTGCTTCAACGAGACCAAAAAGTTGATCGATGTGCGAGTGGACTCCACCATCACTTATCTTAAAAACAAAAGAACAATCAAAATTATCTTATTAATTAAAAAGAAAAAAATAGAAAATAAACAAAAATATATAATTATGTAAAAATTTACAGGATTGTCCAAAATGAGATGACTTCAATTATTTATCTGCTTAATAATAATAACATCTGCTTACAATATCTTTAATAGCAAATTTTATTTACCAATCCTAGAAAATGAAATCTGCCATTTGATTTCTTTGCTCTTTCAGCTGCAGCTGCTAGTGCTTTGTTCGTGGACAATTTGCGCTGCTCCACAGCCATGTTTATTCTAACAATATCCTAAAAGAAAATGAACAAGACACACATTTAAATGAAGAACTTCTTGTCTCTAAGTTTGATCCAACCCTGAAACATCTAACTTACAGATCAAACCCTGAAATAACCTCTGGGCTGACCAAAGTCAGGGCATGGCTGACTCATCACAGATCAAACCCTGAAACAACCTCTGGGCTGACCTAAGTCAGGGCATGGCTAACTCACAGATCAAAACCTGAAAAAACCTCTGGGCTAACCTAAGTCAGGGCATGGCTGACTCACAGATCGAACCCCTGAAACAACCTCTGGGCTAACCTAAGTCAGGGCATGGATAACTCACAGATCAAAACCTGAAACAACCTCTGGGCTAACCTAAGTCAGGGTATGGCTAACTCACAGATCAAATGCAAATTTACCATGTTGGGTTTTGAGGAGGGAGGAAAACCAGAGAACCCAGAGAAAACCCTCAAATCAAGGGCAAGGCTCAAGGCTCACTCACATGTTATACAAGAACTACAAAAACACAAGAAATCAGAGGTGAGAGGCAAAAGCAACATGCCAATGGCCACTATATCATCCTGCATCCTAAAGCACAATAGATTATCCCTCTCTAAATTATCTTCAATGCTACTACATGTAGGCTAGCATGGGTATGCGAAAGAAATCACGCACTTTTTCGATTGATCTTCTTTTGTATTTTCATGTTAGCCTCACGATAAAGATGAGAGGAAATTTTATGTTATGCTTATTTACTGAAGCATGGTGTGTGATATAAATATACTACATACCTGATAGACTACGCGTCCAGCACCAATATTAAGATGTCCTACTTCAGAATTACCCATCAAGCCATCTGGTAGTCCTACTGATAGGCCTGATGCATCAAGGGTAGCATACGCACAATCCTTGCCGGCAGCAAAGCTGTCCATTACTGGGGTCTCGGCATGATATATAGCATTCCCTGTTGTATAATTACAATCATATATTGAGTATATTATGTACACAATTTTGGAGTAAGTGTGGATTAGAATCAAATTAACGGTATTACTGTTACTATTATTATTAGTATCATTACAGATCCCCCTCCCCATACAATGAATTCTTTGCACCTATGGAGGATGGGCAGGAAAGAAATATTCATTCAGTCCTCCATCTGTTCCTTTGACTTCAACAGATATTACATTTCTAAAAAATCCCTATGATCAGTCATCAATCCTCCTTTTGATTGCATTAGCTTATAAAATGCACATATCGCTTTCTTGCGAGTTAAATAGCCAACACATTTTGCTGTAGGAATTCGACGTTTATTTGAAGTGGTTATTATCTGAGCAGCTGAAGCAAAATTGACATTAACTTATGCAAATTTGACGAATAATTTTGCAAACGACCTGAGTTCAGCTTAAAAGAGAAACTAGAAATGTAAAGAAAGGACATGGACAATTGGAGAAGACTACGACCTAAGGCACAGAGGATTTAAAATAAAAGACTACATATCGCAATCACCAAGGATTGAGATCCTTTTTTCACTATTTGTTTTACCGGTGATGTTGTCATTTGCTACGTGCACAAAATCATGCTTTTGTCCAGCAACTAACCTTCTGTTTTCTCTGATATCCCCCAGCCATCAATGACAATAAGGCACACTTTGTTTTTGACTTCTGCCATTGCTGTGCGGGTTTAGTAAAGGGATTTATGCAAGAACAGAATATCAAAGTGTCGAGTTGTTCAGTTTTTCCACCAGACGAACACTGACCGGTGACAAGAAAGGGCCTGCTGTACTACACGGTCAGGGGATATACCCTGTAATGTAGGCCCTAGGCTGTACGCGGCTGGCTACGGACAGACAGACACACGGACGTACARTACATGGAAATTTTATCAACATTTCTCTACAGACTGTTATTCTTTCGGTTTTATTTGTTTTTTCGTTCTCTCTCTTTCTTTCTGTTTTCCTTTCTCTATCTTTATTTCTTACCTACCTCTTTCCCTTCTTCTTCCCTGGCGGTGTTTCCATTCCTGGCAAAGTGGTAGTGAAGGGGAACGGGGATATTGAAGAGCTTTCGAATTCCTACAAGTCTTTCTTTCTTTTTTTTCATTCTTTCATTCATTTTTCTTCCTTCCTTCTATTCATTTATTCTTCTTTTATTTAATTTTTATTCATTCATTTTCCTTTCTTCTTTTCTCTTTCTTTCTTTGTTTCTTTCTTTCTTTGTTTCTTTCTTCCTTTCTTTGTTTC